TTCAAGATTTTTACCTACTTTCTCTTCCAGTAAATTTAGTGCTTCTGTTTTAACATTTAAATCTTTGATCCATTTTGATTTGAGTTTGGTACATGGTGATAGGCTTGGGTGTAGACTCAGTCTTCGGCATGTGGTGAATCAGTTTTTCCAGCACCATTTATTAAAGAGGCTATCTTTCTTCCAGTGAACTCTCTTTTCATCTTATGGAGGAGGTCACTGTGGCTCAGAGCGGCCCGTGAGTGTCCATGGCACATGGTCAAACTGGGATAGGAAACTAGGCAGTCAGACTCCAGAGACCCCATCCCTTAGCCCTCTTTGTCATGGAACAAATTGAACGGGGCTGGGGAAAGTGTAAACAGCTGGCTTGGTGAGACCTGGGTACAGAGAGAAGCTGGGGATTTGAGAGCTGAGGGCCTTAGGATCCCAGGACCGTGGAGGTTTGATAAGGGTATCAGCCCAGCCACAGGAATGCAGGATGGATTAGAGCCTAGAGGGTGTGAATGGGAGCTCAGCCAGGAGCCAGAGCCAGGAAATTCACTTAGTATCTCTCACAAAGGTGGTGTTACGCATGGGCAGTTTTCAAAATGAATCCACAAGCCAGGAACATTTGTCTAAATACTTTAATTAAAATGCATTGTAATATGAAAGCCTAAGCGTAATAAAGTATTCATGTTTATTAGGAAAACAGATTAAAATATTCCCAGTAGCTGAACACATTTTGATAATGAATTTTTAAACAGCTTCTTGGTTTTAATTTTATTTAAAATACTTATAAAGTTAAAAAAATAACTTGCTATTCATTTTCTACCAAAATGTAGGACATGTTGAGACATTCTGAGTAGAGATTCAACTCACATAACTATAGGTCCTGTTTCACTGCAGAATCACAGTATTTCTCAGCTGTGCCTTTCCTACCTCTGCGACCCACCAGCTCCATTCAATTTGGAGAATAATGCCATTCTCAATTCAATTTACCTACTATCTTGGCTTTGCAAAAGTGCTGAATTTAATGAGATAGCTCAGTGAAATTAAGACACGGCTAATCTCACGTCAAAATCAATTTTCCAGGACAATTCTTGGGAACCACAAGAATCTCTCACTTTATATAACAGGCAGGATACCTTCAAAGACTGATATCTAAAAGAGTAAGTGCATTCACATAAAAATAGATTCCTTATAAAATAGGATCTCACAGTGAAAGTGCATGGAAACATCTTGCCATCTACAAAGGGCAGTATGTTTACCTCCCAGGAATATCTGAATACCAGCTACAGGTGGGAGTACTCTCTACGCCTGGGTCTTAGACAATGTGGTGCAAATATGGGAATGACAAATGGGATAGTGAGGGGGGAAAATCTACCTAAACTCCCAGACTTCTCAGTTTAAAAATAGTTTGTATAATAGGAATCAGGGTGATCTTTTACAAATAGGAAGGAGACCAAGAGGTGGAGGAAGGGGAAGAGGATGTAAAAAGAATGAAGGTGTTTACACATGTGCACCAACTTCCCATGGTGAATGTACTCATTATGCACTGCAAGCATGTACTAATAAAAATAAAAACTAAAAAATGTGTACCAGTGAAATTATGTCTGTACAAGATTTTCTTTTTCAGTTCTGGGGATCAAACCTAGGGCCTTGCACATGCTAGATAAGTGCTCTACTACTGAGCTTTTATCTCCTGTACAAAATTTTTTGATTGCAGCATTATTTTTGTTTTGGTGGATTTTTTTGTTTGGCTGGGGTTTTTTGGAAACAGAGTCTTGCTATGTATTCAGTTCAGGCTGGCATCAAACTCACAGCAATCCTCCTGCTTCAGCCTTCCAAGTGCTGGGATTATAGGCGTGTGCCACCACACGCAGCTTGCAGCATTATTTTTCACAGCACAAGACTGGAAACAGTCAAACCCATTAGTGGGAGAATGGTTTAAATGTTATGATACAATGGGCTGAATTGCAATCATGAACAAAGAAACACACTCTTTAGGTACTACCAGGGAATACAGTAATGTCCAAAATAAATTAGCTGGGGATATAGCTCAGTGGCACAAGCACCTGCCTGGCAAGCACAAGGTCCTGAGTTTGATTCCTGGTACCACAAAAAAATAAATAAATAAAATGGAAAATAAAATAACAGTGGCTCTCTAACATGTATTATAAGATCTGTTTAAAAAAAAAAAAAAAAAGTCCAGATGCAGTGGTATACAACTGTAGTCCCAGCTACTGGGGAGGCTGAAGCAGGAGAATCCCTTGAGCCCAGGAGTTCAAGGCCAGCCTTGGGTAACACAGTGAGATCCAGTCTCAAAAAATTGTCTTTTACCATTGAGTTGTAAGAATTCTTTATAAGTTTTGAATACTAGATTCATATGATTTACAGTTATTTTCTTCTATTCTGTACATAGTCTTGTTACTTTCCTGATAACCTCCTTTGGGGCATTCAATTTAAAATTTTTTTTAAAAAAATAAATAAAATTTTGTCCAATTTATCTAGTGTTTTGTGTTTGTCTTTGCTTGTGATTCTGATGGCCTGTCTTAATGTCTTGCCAAATAGAAGGTTGTGAAGATTTTAAAAAATAAATAAGGAGAATAAGAAAGAATATACGTCTTTCCTGATGTAAGCACAAAGTCTCTGTGAAAGGGTACAGACCACGCTGCTAACAGTGTTTCTTTCCAGGGAGTTGCCCAGGGAGGCTTCCAAGGGCAGGTAGGGTGGAGAGTTTTCAGTGAGTGAGCCTCCTTTTGTACTCATGTAAATATGATGTTACCTGTTATAGTAAATCAACAAAAACTTTTTTTTCTTTTTTCCGGTACCAGGAATCGAACTCACGACCTTGCGCTTGCCAGGCAGGCACTGTGCTGCTGAGCTAAACCCCCAACCCCCAACAAAAACTTTTTGAAGAAGTAAAATAATAATGTGAATCATCATTACACTCAGTCCCCCAGACCAAGTGACCTGGCATCAACTAAACAAAGCCGTTCATCACTCTGGGATTCAGAGTTGCTTAGACCAGCTTGCGAACTCCCAAATTGTTTAATTTTTTTTCACCCTGAAAATGAACGTTGTTTTAAATTGATGGGCAAATACACACAGCTGCAGGCCCTCAAATGTCACTGCAGCAGCTCGCCATGCTCCTGTAATTTTATGCAATAAGGGCAGGCCCTTGTGGAACTCCAGGCCCTCTGGGCTCCTTGCTGGGTGGAAACAAATGTCTCAATATTAGTTTTCACCTTTAATCATCCCCTCCCCTAAGAGCCATCCGGTATGCAAATGAAACCCTCTCAATATACATTCATGGGCTGGATGATGCTTTTTACCCCCCTCCTTCTAATCATAAAAACATCGTCTGGAGAGACTTTAGGGAGTTTAAGCCGTGTCACATCCAGGGCTGGGGATATAGCTCAGTGGTGCCGTCCTTGCCTGGCAACTGTGAGGACAGGAGTTCGATTTCTGGTACAAACTAAGTGGTGTCACATTTGTGAAATTCCACCTTCCAGGATTAATCGAAGCTGTTTCTCTAGCAAGGTTGTCAAAAGCAAGCGACAGCCCAATCCCTGCTGGCAATACAGGGGCCTTTTCAAGGTGACAAGCCAGAGACACTTCTACGGGGCTGTCCCGTTGCCTCGGACAGCTACGGCCCCTTGCTGGACAGCCATTTCCGTCCTAACTGTCCTGAGACGATGATGCGGGACGGGGCTGAAAGGAGACTGCGGAAGTAAGCGCTGACCACCCTCGGAGCCAGCGACTGCCAGCCAGGGACGGCACGCTGAGGCAGGGCTGTCTCCGCATCGCAGCCATCTGCTGCAGAACCAGTTCCCGTTCTCGCAGCGGGGAGACTCCTGCAGGACGCCCTCGCGGGCCGTCCGACCCGCGGCTCCGGCCACAGAGCTTTCCGTGCCGTCGGGACCCCCTGCCTGTCCGCTGCCTAGGAACTTCCAAAGTGGAAAGTGATTTCGTTCTTAAGAACAGCAACCGTCCGGGGGAGCTGGGGTCCTCCAGGGAGGTGGGGAGCTTGGGGACGCTGACACTGGGGGGAAAGCGTTGATCTCAACGCCAAGCCCGCCAGCAGGCGCCCTGGGCGGAGCCAGGCTGGGCCTCACTCCGCCGCTGCCTCCTTCTCCTCTGGCAGGGTCTGCTCCACAGACAGCGTCTGCTCGCCGGGCTCCGGGCCTGGGCTCACGAGGATGCGCATCGAGGGCCCCTCCGTGCCAGACGGCTCCTCTCCGCTGCCCTCGGGCTCCTCTGCGGAGGCCGGCGGCGGGGAGCTCGGGGCCGGCGGACCCGGGGGTTCCTGGGGGTCCTGGGGCGCAGGCTGGTCCGGGGCAGCCCCAGAGGGGGCCGTGGGCTGGTCCGGGGCGGCCTCCCCTGCAGCCTCTTGTGCACTCTTTGCCTGAAATCCAGAAAAGGTGCCTGGTGAGACACAGAACGTCCAGGGGTCTTGGACACCTCCGTTTACATGTTCTTTTTTTTTTTTTTTTTTCCCTATATTATGGATTGAACCCAGTGCTTCACACTGAACTATATCCTCAGCCCTGTTTAACTCATTTTATTTTATTTTTGAGACAGAGTCTCTCTGAGTCACTAATTTGCTCAGGCTGAGCTGGAATTTAGAAGCCTCCTGTCTCAGCCTCCCAGAGTGCTGGGATTACAGCCAGACCTTGCACTCCCAAAGAAGATACCAGTGGAATGCCAGGGATAAAAATCTGCTGGACTAGGGCAGTGGCATCAGGGTTATTTTGGGGAAACAGAATAAATGATGGGAAGTTTAAGGAGGAAGTCCCAGACTGGCATGGTGGGAGGTCTTGGGGATGTTTGAGATCTCTGCTGAGTGGGAGGGTGGTTGTCTGTTCAAGGGCAGAGCCCTAGCCCTGAGCTATTTAGGGAGCTGACCATAAGGGAGGGCCAGGAAGGCTTCTCACAGGCTGACCCTGGGTGGTCCTGGAGTGAAGGAGAAAAACTAAGCCCTTGGGGTGAAGGGTCCCAGGGGTTGAGGTCCTCTGGAGAAGAATGGGCTTAGATGCCATTCTTGTCAAGCTGAGCTCAGTGGGCACCTCCAGCCTCTAGCTTGTGCCTCACAGGGGTCAGTTCTGTGTGGGTGCAGGAAACCCAGCCTTCATGGACGGCTGCAGCCCCTCCTGCCCTGTCCGAGCCATCTCCACACGGAAGGAGCTGGACGAGGAGCAGCCCCCAGAGGACCAGGCAGAGTGCTGGCTGGCCAGAGGTGGCTGTGAATGTACAGAGGTACAGGCAGCATGTGCTCCTCAAACTCTGAGAAGGCCCTTCCAGGGCAGGATGCTTGGATGGGGCTTCTGGGAGCATCTGGCTATAAACAGAGCCAAACTGTGATGGGGAAGCTAGGGAAGTGCTTTGCTGTGCCTCCGTGCTTTCTAAAGGGTGAGCAAGTCAGCCCAACTAATTCTGTGACTGCATGTGGCAACTAGGAGTAACTGGGTCTCAGAGCTCGGGGGCTACTTCAGGGCCACGGAGCCAGCCGGTGACAGTTGAAATTTGGACCGATGTCTCTAGACTTCTAGTAAGAGCTCCCCGAACTCTGCCATTCTGCCTGGCTGTTCTAAGTGGCAGGGGAAATGGCCTTTTCTTGGAACACTCATGCAAATTTGATTCAAGCTCAGTGATAAGCAACACTTAGGAGCAACTTTTGACCTGAGAGTACTCTTTTTCTGATGGGTGGAGGTGTTAGAGACAGGGTCTCACTGTGTGGTTCACTCTGGCCTTGAACTCACTACGTAGTCCAGGCTGGTCTCAAACTCTCAGCCGTCCTGCCTCGGCCTCTGGAGTGCTGGCACCCACAGGCATGTGCTGCCACACCCGGTACTGAGAGCGCTCATGGGATTTAACCCAGAGCCCACACAGAGGCCAGCACTAAAGACCCCAACCTCCTTGCTCAACTGTGACTTTGACAGTTGGCAAGCCAAATAATCCCGACTTCCTCAGTCTGGGGCCGGGGTGGGGGGGCGCATCTGGAAATCAGCTGGGAATCCCAAGTGGTTTTGATGTCACCGAACTCCTGCAGTCCAGTGACCCCTGGCTGGGTGCCCTGGACTCTTGGCAACAGCCTGGACTATGGCTGGTGTTTGCTGGCCTCCTTTGGACTCTGTCATCTAGATTGACACCCATGCCTCTAAACAGCCCTGGCCCCGAACACCTGCCTGTCCCCAGCCCCTCGCTAGCAGCCTCCCTAAAGAACAGTCATGAACATACATAATTAGTGCAATTATTCTAATTGGCATTCTTGGCTTTAGTCACAGAAAAAAGTCCCAGAACTAATTGTGATATTCCCGTTAGAGTGTGTGTGTGGGGGGGTCTCTGTGCCTGGTTTGTAAGATTTTTCCTTTCAAATCTTTTAAATTGTCACAGACACAGTATTAAATAGGAAAATATCATTGCTGCCGGGGAAGGACATTCCCTGCCCACACCCTCTCCTCTGAGCTCTGCAATGGCACCTGCACTTCCTGTAGGGGATCCTCCCCTTCCCACTCTCAGTCCGGGGATGGGCATGTGACCCATGTAACTCAGGCCTCCCAGAGCCCAGGAGTCTCTCCATCACACTGCATGGCTCAGGCATTGGCACGTGACCCAATTCTGGCCAATGCAGTGGGTCCAGGGGCTTTTGCTGGAATCTCTGGGAAGAGATACTTTCTGTTGGACTTGCTACATTAGCAGGATGTAATCAAGGTGGCCTGCCTGGAAGTAGAGCCACCATCAAAGAAACAGCAATGCAGAGATGACAGACTGGGAAAACCGTCCTGCGGGCCACATATGGGTTTTTATTGAGCACTGATTCTGCGCTGGTGAGGACAGGGTCCAGGCAGGCCCCGCATATGCTAGGCAAGTGCTGGGCCTTGAGCTGCACCCCAGCCTCCTGGGCTGCTGGATCCGGCCTTATCTGAACTTGTCAATCATTGGACCCCTTTGTTTTCTCAAGCTAATTAGAGCTTGCACTCCATCACTTGCAATCATGTAAGTCTTGCCTTTCTGCCTGCTATAAAGCAGGGGACAACACTCCCTAAGGGTGTGGTCCACCCTCACAGGTTCCTCTGCCTCCCTGTCCTGAACCTGAAGGGGACAGAACGCTGGGGTCCCCACCGCATTACCTGCTCCAGCAACTGCTGCTGCCTGGCAGCTGCCTCCAGCGCGGCCAGTTCCTTGAGCCGGGCCCGCAGGTGGGCGAGCTTGCCGCCTTTGCCCCCCTTGCCCATCTTGCCTGTCACAGCCAGGGCCGCGTTGAAGAGCTTGGGGGTGCCGGCCCGCGGCGGCAGGATGAGCACGCTCTTCGGCTCCTTGGGCTTGTTGTTGCTTCTCAGCATGCGCCTGAAAGACAGCAGCCCTGGTATCAGGAGCGCTCTCTGTTGGGGAGGGCCGCGTCCACACAACCGGGCGGCCAGGGCTGGGCCGTGGGGCGGGTGTGGGTGATAGGTCTCAGGGTACATCATGGGTAGATCTCACTGAACCATCAGACCAACCACAACACGATGGGTCTCCTGACTGCACCCAGTGGATGAGCACGCTGGGGCTCAGAGAGGCTGAGTAACTCTTCCGAGCCGCACAGAAGGGTGCTGCTATGGCTCAGTGTGTCCCCCAGGCTTCATGCGCCGGGAGCCTGGCCCTAGGCATGCTGTGGTTGCTGGGGGGTGGGGTTGGGGCGTGGTGGTGGTGCCAGAAAAATCACTGGGTCATAGAGCGCGCCTGTCAGAAGAGATTGGTATAGGTCTCTGGCTTCCTGTCTTGTTGTGTGATCTCCCTATCCAATGTACTGCCACCGCAGTGCCATGTGCTGTGCCGTCCTCAAGCCAATACCGGTGCCATGCCCTTGTCCCTCTGGAACCATGAGCCAAACAAACCTCTTTTCTTTATAGAGGACCTGGCCTCAAGTATTTCTTTCTCTCTCTTCTATCTATCTAGCTATCCAGCTATTCCTTTCCTTCTTTCCTTTATTCCTTCTTCCCTTCCTCCCTCCTTCCTTCTTTCCCTCACTCCCTCCCTCCTTCCCTCCCTCCCTCCCTCCCTCCTTTTCTTCCTGCTGAGAATCAAACCCAGGGCCTGGCACACACTAGCCAAGCCCCCTTCCGCTGAGCTACACCTCCAGCCCCATGTACTTAAATATATGGACTTAGAAATGGGAAGCCTGCGTGGAGCAAATGCAGGAAACCACCAAAGTGGTTTCCTTCTGCTTCATTGTCCTTTCTCCAGGGTCACCAATGTCAGCAGAGTCTCTGTGTCCTTCACAGGTACCTGGGCTCCCAGTGCCCCTGCCTGAGGCTCTCACCCCTGTGTAGTCCCCTCCTCTCTGGGTGGTCCCCTCCCCTGACAGGTGGATATGTGTGACATGCCCCGCAGTTACCTAACAGGAGATAAGGAGTGTGGGGGCCAGCACTGTGTGTGTAGCCACAGAGGACCATGGGCACCGGCTGTTGGATTTGCTGAAGCAGCCGGCCACACTATGAGAAGCCAGGAAGCAAGAACCAGGACAGTCCCAGCCCATGGCCAGCTAGGAACAGAGGTGCTAGTCCTACAGCCCCAGGACCCGGATTTGGCCGGCACCTTGTGGTCTTGGAGCTGCCCCTTCCCCCAGCAAGACTTCCAATGAGCCTCTTCTTGGCTGACAGCTTGGTGATAGCCAAGGGTGTGGATCCATGGAGGGTTCTGCTGAGCCATCCCCAGACTTCTGAGCCAAAGAAACTGAGATAACAAATGTGTGTGGTTTCAAGGTGCTAAATTTGTCGTGATGTTGTTACACAACAGTAGGTAACTAATACACATCGACATTCTCAGTTAAGCCTCACCATAATCCTCACAAGTAATCTCACTATTCATGCCCATCTCTATAAGAGGATATGGAAGTCCAGAGGAGGTGAATAACTTTCCCAAGGCCACACAGCTAAGACTTGGCATAGCCAGAATACAAACTCACACTTCTGATCCCAGCACTCCAGATCTTAATGTTACAAGGCAAGACACAGTCATTACCTTCTTAGATGCGGACAGTACTGTGACCCTGACAGTTGGGGAAACTGAGGCTCAGACTGCAGGGGAGTAACATGACCGAGGTTGTCAGGAAGCAGCAAGGGCAGAATCACAACCCGAACCTACTGCAATGTACCACGCATTTTTCTAAACCAGGACAGAATTTTCCATCAAAAGAGCCCTCACCTTTCACAAGAAATTTTTTTTTTTCTATGAATATATGAGGAGCAGTTTGGCTCCAGAACAAATGAATTTTGTCTGCAATCTAATGGCCTAGACTGCTAATTGGCAAATTCATTCATCAGGGTTCCAGCAGAACTTGTTTGTTTAAAAATGAGCCTGTTACCAGCTGCTTATCTAATCAGAGGCAATGGGCTGAAATTGCACGTACTGATATTAATTACCGGAGATTTGCATTTTCTGGCTGGGCTCCCCAGGAGAGCACAAACATGGTAATTCATCAGAGGCCTCTCAGACACCAGCCCCGCACTGTCACCTGTGTTATTGGAGTCCATAATTCATGGTGTGACAGTTGCAGGAAGGCTCCGTGTGGGGCTGAAATCAGACAAAAGCGCTGTCTGCAGGGTCTCTGCTGGTGGCTAGCGGCTGTCTCTGTGTTGAAACCCTGAGCTGGCTTCTGGGACGTTTCCATAGTAAAGAGGCTCCTCTCCATGTTAATTTTATTTTTTATTACTTTTGCTAGTTTTGACACAGGATCTCACCGTGTTGTTCAGGCTGGCTTTGAACTCACCATGTAGCCCGGGCTGGCCCTAATCTCATGGCCCTAATCCCATGCCTTGGCCTCCCGAGTGCTGGGATTACAGGTGTGCTGTACCACCGGCCCGGCTTTCCCTTCCATTTGTAGATGATGCATGCTTCTCTATGGTGAGGACGCTGCGTCGCCCAGGGAACGCGGCAGGCACAGACCCTTTCATCTCCTCTCTCTGGAGTGGTCAAGCCAGAAACTGGAGCATTTCGCTTTGGGAGGCCTCAGCATCCTATTTTTAAATCTTTTTTTTTTTTTTTTTTTTTTTT